GGGAAGGGCTGCGCCCCCTCCTTCCTTCTCTTCTCTTTTCCCTTTCCTTCTCTCCTACTCCTACTACTTGGAAGGGCTCCTAGTTCTATTAGGAAAGGGGGAATCCTACTCCCGGTGGGAGTAGGACTCCCCTAGGGCACGCCATAGAGAGGGCCGGCCCCTCCCCTCCTCCACTTCTTTATATACGTGGCCAGGGGACACCCCATAGACAGAACAATTGAGTTTCTAGATCCCAACAAAAACAATGCAACAACCGGAGCTAGAAATTCAAATGATGACAATGTGAAGCAAGTCAACATGGCTTTGGACTCCAATCTCATTTTGGTTCAGCCAACCACTTGTGTATAGTAAACGCAAAACTTTTTGACGCTTTCTTGGATCATGGACCATCTATATTAGAAAGAGCCCTCACTGCGAGTGGTATGGATAGGGTTCGGCTGCACATACTTCTTGTGTTCATAGTAGTATTTGTGGATTTTGTTTACCAATACTTAACACCCTTTTGCTCGGTTCCACAAATTGCATACATGCTTGTGGCCAACCAAGATTCACATAACAACACATTCTCATGGCTTGTGAATGCCGGACCTCTTGCCTTTGGTTCTTTCCTTTTTACGATGTTTGCCCGACTTCATACATGGGGAATTGGTATCAATAAGTCATAATGCATAGACTCTTGACCATCATGTATCATGTCCATCATAATTGTGTCCTACAATATGCACCACAATAAAACTACATCCCTAGATTTATCCAATGGCATGTGCAACAAACGAAGCATGCGATTCAATGTCATATGGGGCAAGAATGTACCTGGTCTTGGTCGGGCATATCGTTGAATAACAGGTGGGCCTGCACGGCGCCGACGTTTCACAATGTTGTCCGCAACCTTTGGAATTGCGGCGACTCCTACATTGTCTCCGCGGCAGCGACGTCTTCCGTCCAGCCATCCGGGATGGCCCATTTGGGTGGTGGAACAGAGTTTGGCGCCTTGTTATTTCACGGCGGACGACACGGAGGCGGTTGCCAGACTAGACATACATATATCCATGTCTCTAGCCTTCTCCGCCACTCCCCTCTCCGCAGCTACCATCTTCGTAACTTCCCTACGCGCTGCCGGTTGCGCCAATCTGTTCGAGCGATGTTCTCCGCCTTGCAAGAGACGATGGTCGGTACCCCCACATGGAGGCGGTGGGGGACGGGGTGCTCGGTGTCGACATCTACGATGCCGGACAAGGATAGCGGCGTGGACAGGGAGCAAAAGTGGATGAAAGCGACAACTCAAACGCGAGAAACGGAGGACGAGAGTGGGATGAGGGGGATCGATTTGGTGGACTTGGTCAATTTGAAGCCGATTTAGGATATCAAGAAGCTCGCGAGGAAGTTGCCACGCTCGTAGAAGTACTCGGCCTTCTCCACCCTCGTGTCGTCGTCAACCTATCATCACATTGTTGCACAGAAACGCGACAGTGTTTTCTCGGTTACTGGTTTACTGTAAATCTGAACTTTGAATGACAATGATACACGAGTACTGTGGAACTCACGTGGAAAATGCAGACGCCAAAGAACTCGACGCGGTGGCCGTGAGGGGGGTGGCCCTTGAACGGCCCCTCCATGTAACCCCAGTGCCGGAACTTGAAGGCGACCCTCGGCGGGCCGCTGTACACGTCCAGCACCTCGATGGCGAAGCCCCTGGGGAACGCCGTGAGGAACGTCGACATGCCGGAGTCGACCGTCTCCTTGTCCGGGTCGTAGATGCGGTGCTCCGGCGGCAGCTTGGTCGCCAGGAACGCGTTGTAGCCGCCGATGGCGGTCACCTCCTCCCGCGTCAGAGGCTTCAGCCCTGCAAGCGCACACGGTATTATTTCATTTTTGAGGGGCGCGGCCGGCCGATTGTGTTGCGGATCAGGTCTCACCGTTGGTGCTCGCGGAGTAATTCCTAGGGTGGACGCTCTTCTGGTCCTCGGGGCGCACCTTGTGGACCATCTCCATCTCCCAGCTTTTGAGCAGGCGCTGCACCTTCTCTTCCAGAGACCCCTCCGGCCATTCCTGTTGCACTCGGTGTTAACCATGGAAGAACTTTGGTGAAGCATTAGTAGTGAAGAAACATGTCGTGTGGACAGGTTTAGTGGTACCTTGGTCCTCTCTTCCTCGAAGAGCTTGTTCACCAGGTCGTAGTTGGGAGGGGCTCCATGCCTCCACACGGTGTTCTTCTCGCCATCGCCGTGCAGGAACGACCGGTACTTGTCTCCTCCTTCAGCAGAAGCCATAGCTAATGGCGTTCGGCTCAATTCAAGGGGCAACGTGGGTTGTGTTTGGATGAAGACTGCAAATCAAATAAACGATTGATTCCCTACTTGTAGGAAAAAAACAGATGTAGACACTAGAGAAGAAGAACCACATCATCGCACACGTCACTGCTGGAAAAAGGACTAGTAGGAGTATACCCACCAATCCAAATATCCAATCCGCGACTCGTCCCTGTAGCAGAGGCGCGTCCACTCATTGTTGCTAAGTCTGCAGTGAAGTTTGTTTTTTAAAACTGATCGTGGAAGTGAGTAAAAAATGTTAAATCCAAAGAACCAAATGCGCAAGCGTACAAGCAGCTGGTTGCGGCGTTCCCTTGCATGTTTTGTTTCTATCGCTATTTCGAGATCGCCAGCTACTATCCCCTTATCCCCTCTTTTACGCCAGACTGGATTGATTTACATTTGCTGTAAAACCATATTTATTTTTAGATTTGTTCAATTTGTTGGCTGTGTGCATCGTGCTATGCAGTGGCCGGGCATTTTTTCAATGCAGTTGTATCACTTCGATATATTAATTGAATAAAATATTCTTTATAAATTAAGTAAAGGTTCTAGGCCTGGTGGCTATGGTCACTGCCATCTGAACCGGTTTTTTTTAGTAAATTCCATCTTCTGTACCCTAAGTTTCAACTTTGTGACAATCTACCTCATTTAACAGATTTTCCATCTTTTTACTCAACTTAAGCAAAAATGTTGCCACTTTTTAACCCATGTAGATTATTTTCGTTCTAACTGGTTGGCTCACTTTTAATCTGGTCAATCGTTTTTCACTATTTTTCTCTGTTTTTTTTCTTCCAACCACACCCACGCGCCCATCCGCCGTAATGGCGTACGCTGGGGGAGGTGGGTTGCTGGCTGTCACCTCAACCATCATTTGCATTGTTCTCGTGGATTTGTTTGTCCTTATCCAAAGCACCGCATGGAAGACGCAACGAAACCTATGGGTCGTTTACTATGGGCACTGGGGGGAGCCGAGTTGGTTGGTGTTCGATTTTGTGTTAGGTGTTTCGCTAAACTGACATCTGGGATCTCTGAGGAGACGCACAAGGTGTGGGCCATGTAAAGGTGATAAGGGTAAAACAAAGAGTGGGGCGCGGCAGTGGTGACGAATCAACCACGGCGGGGACAGGCCGGAACGAGTAAGAAGAATGCGGTAACTGCGATAGAGGGCTTCCTCAGTCGGTTCCTTCCATGGAGTTGCTCAGTGAGCCTAGTTGAAAGGTATTACACATCTAGCTGCGTAGAGGGGTGGACTTTGATCACGTGTTCGAAGGCCAGGACAGTGGCAGTAAGAGGGTGTTGCTGCGGCTGAAAAACTTCACCTAGAAGAAGAAGAGGTGCTCCTGGTTGTGCCGGCCAATGTTTGCTCATTGTTTCGAGATGAGGTGCTTCAAGGGGCTCGTCGAAAATGTCATACATGTCGGGGCCAAGGCTCCTTTCTTCCTCGGCCTCCGGATCACAGTCGTCGTGGTCGGGGTTGGCGTCATCGTGATCTTTTCATCGCCGGTGACGTCGCCATCATTCTGGTTGTCGGTGTCGTCCTTTGCTGCATCACAGTTAGCGGTATCACTGTTTCTAGTGCCTCATTGCTTGCATCGTCGTTGCCAGTGCCACTATTACGGTGGCCTCTGAGTCGGCGTTTTGGGGGTCCTCCCCTCCTCCTCTGTTTTTGGGAGTGTCTACCATGTAGACATCATAGATGGAGGATGCCGCCCACTTGCCGGTGTTGGTGACGCCTGGTGGCAAGGTAGTATCTGAACTCTCACCGACATCTTCATCCAAGTCGGTTGCCTCCTTGGAGGCGCAAGCTAAGATGTCGGTCAAGTCCTCGATGGTAGCAACAAAATGGGTGGTGGGCGGGCTGAAACTTTCAGCTTTATCCGACTCTTCCTAGATCTGATTGTACATTGATTTTCGATCATTTGAGATCGCACGCCTATGGATTTGATCTAACATCTTGTTCAGAAGTGCCTTATCGCTTTCTCCCATAACTTGGTTGTAGGTTGGGCTCGGTTGGAGTTTGCCCTAGATGCGATCTGACATGGCCTCGGGGTCTTTATCAGTCAGGCCTGATGCTTGATATGTCACCGTAGTACTCGACTCCGAGCTCAAGGCCGGATCCGAGGCAGGATCCGCGCCATGGTCCTTATCTGGGTTCGACTCCTTGATCTGGACGAAAGCGTCAGTGTGGACTTCGGCCTGGTGTGACACCCAGCTCGAAAACGCAAGCTCACCGCGTGAATCCGCATTGTATTCCAGGTTTCGAAATCTAATGATCTGTCCTGGAGGAAGATTTTTGATCTGGCCGAGGTGGCCAGTCGAATCACCGTAAAGCGGGATGCTCCGAAAGACAAAGCGTTGTCCTGGGAAGAAGGTCATATCGAAGTCGACGCTGTCGTCGATCAAGAGGCATGCCGTTGAGCTGATTTGATTTCCCAGAGGGACCTGTATGGGCCACCAATGTCGGAGCCAAATCCGGTAGATCTCAGGTAGGGGATCCTTATCGGTTACTGTTGGCTAGATGGTAACAAGGACACAGGGGACACGAGGTTTACCCAGGTTCGGGCCCTCTCGAAGAGGCAAAACTCTACGTCATGCTTTGTGTGTATTGGTTATGGAGGGGGTACAAGGTACAAGTGATCTACCATGAGATCGGATGTGAATGACTTACCCCTCTACGTCCATGGTGTCTTGGTTTATATAGACTATATGGGTTCCTAGGGTTTACATATGATAGGTTGTATCTAGGGGGTAAGCGTGTTGAGGACTATTTCTACATTTTGGGGTGCACTCCAAGTCTTCAGACGCCTCTCGAAGCTTTCGGATCCGATGAATGAGGCCCACCAGTGACAGGATTGGGGGGATCCTCGGCCCAACCCAAAGGCGGGCATCCGACAAGCCGAGCACCCCCTAATTCAAGACTCCGTCCGTTTTTTCTTTTCTTTCTTTTTGTTTTTTTGCCTTTCTTTTGTTTCCTTTGTGTTTTTTGGTTTTTATAAGTTTTGTTTGTTCTCTTTCTACATTTTCCATATACACCAGGAACAATGTTTATATACACATACACATTTAACATTTTCCAAATATGTGATTAACATTTTGACAACATATATTTTGATGTTTACTTTTTTCATACACATTGTACATTTTTTGGACACATCATGAATATTATATATATACACGTTTAACATTTCAAAAATACATGATTGACATTTTTTAAACATATACTTTTTGATGTCTACTTCCTCCATAAGCATTCTATATTTTTTGTATACATAAAAAACATCTAGACATACACGTTTCACATATTTCAAATTCATGATTAAATTTTTTTATGTCTGCGTTTTCCATACATTCCACATTTTTATATAAACCAGGAACATTTATATATACACGTTTAACATTGTCCAAATACATGATTAATATTTTTTACTTGAAAAAGTATGTCCATTTTTTCTACATACATTTTAATTTTTTTTAAATGCGTGACTAACAGTTTTTTTAAATGAAAACTTTTATTTTTTTTATTTCCACTTTTTTATGATGACATTGTATACTTTTTTGTATACATTGTAAGCAGTTTTTACACACATTTAACATTTTTATGCATAGTAAAATTTTTAGAATTTTATATAAAAATGATTTTAGAATAGACGTATTAATAATATTTTTAAATACAAGAAAAATAAAAAATATATAACAAAAACCGAATACAGCAAAGTGGAAAAAACGAATGGAAAAATGCGTTGAAGGCTTGTGCCCGCACTGGGCCGGCCCAATCGGGCGGCTGCCTGAAGCGAGACAGTATTCAAGTGAGACATAGGCGCCCACCGGGCATTTCCTGTTTGGCGTTTCAGTGAGACTGTAGAAACCCTCGGCCTATCCGTGCGTACACTAAAGGAAAAATAAACTAGTAACTGGAAGCGGGAGAAGTATCCCTGCCGGTGCGGCGAAATACTTCTCCCGCTTCCAGTTACTAGTTAGTACTAGGATCGCGACCTACTAGAGGCGATCCGACCCGGTCTTCTCCTTTTTCTTTTTCTTTTTTTTGTTTTCCTTCGTTCATTTTTTTATTTTTTTATTCTTTTGTTTTTCTTCCACCGATTTGTTTCATTCTCTCTTTTTTTTTCTCCATTTTGTGTCATCCTTTTTTTCACTTTCTTTTGTTTCATTTTTTTTCTTCTCTAACTTTTTTCAGTAATTGTTTTTCTTCTCTGATTTGTTTACTTCTTTTTGCATTTGAATCTTTTTTTTTGGTATATTTTTTTTGGCTTCTTTGTTTTCTTCCTTTACATTCTATATTTTCTGTACATATCGACAACATTTTTGTCATAGACGTTTACATTTTTTCTAATCAAATTTAATATTTTTAATATGCGGTCAACATTATTTCTATACACATTTTAACATTTTTTAAATGGTTGATTAACATTTTTAAGATACAATATTAATTTTTTTAATACATGGTCAGCATTTTTCTTATGCACACTTTTAAAGCTTTTCGAATGCTTAATTAAAATTTTCACATACAATATTAACCTGTTCTAATACATGGTCAACATTTTGTTTATGCACATTTAAGATTATTTTCAATGATTGAATAAAATTTCATAAATGCAATATTAACATTTCTTAACACTTGTTCAACATTTTTTCTATACACATTTAACATTTTCCAAATACCCCATTAACATTTTTTAAATACTTGTTCAACCATTTTTCAAGTGCTTGACTAACATTTTTTATATACATGATCAATTTTTATATCGTTTACAATACAAGGTCAACATTTTGTCTATACACATTTAACATTGTTCAAATGATTGATCAACATTTTTCAAATACTTGTTCAACATTTTTATTCAAATGCTTGATTAACATTTTAATATTGATGATAAAAGAATCATCATTTGTTTAATACATGGTCAATACTTTTTCTATGGACATTTAACATTTTTCAAATGCTTGATCAACATTTTCAAATACTAGTTTAACATTTTATGAAATGCTGGATTGACATACTTATATAGATGATAAATATAATTCATTATTTTTTAATGCATGGTAAACACAATTTTTGTACACATTTAAGATTTTTCAAATACTTGATCAACATTTTTCCAAATGATTGATTAACATCTTTTATGCATGATAAAAAATTATTCATTTTTTTGTACATTGTCAACATTTTTTCTATACAAATTTAACAAATTTCAAATAGTTGATTGAAATTTGCAAATATTTGTTCAAGTTTTGTTTCAAACACTTGATTAATATTTTTTAAATAGATGATCAAAAATATTTATACATGTTTCTTTATACATTTTTCGTATACGTGATAAACATTTTCTCTATACACATTCAACATTTTTCAAATACTTGATCAACATTTTTTCAAATATTTCTATAGAGTGTTTTTTGTAATATATAGTTAGAATATTTTAAAGTATAAACAAAAGTAAAAAATAAATTAAAAATCTAAAGAGAAAACATAAAACAAACAGAAAAAGGAGGCTGTGGCTTCCCACACTGGGCCGGCCCATCTCAGTTTCACGTTCAGCGATGGTTCCTACCCTCTCGCGCAAGATGAGACATAATCGTGCCCGCATTAATGTGCTAAATCACTAATTCAGGAGTACTCCTTGCAAAGATCACTCATGCCTCCCAAGTTGTGACAAGTGGCGCGCTGATGCGCCACTTGTCGTAACCTGTGAGTTTTTTCTTTTTACGTAGACCCATTTATTCAAAACATTTTACCTATTAAACTGTGCGTCCAAATTTGAAACCGTTTTCACCATTGAATTCCTCGCGTTGAGATCTTCAAAACTAGATCCATGTTGATAGGTTTTGACGAACCTTTTTTCATGAAAAAAACCAAACCACTAGCATGGTTTTTTCTTTCCGAAAGAGGCACGGCCATGGCTCTCGTGAAAGGCATACCCGTGCCTCTCGCGGAAGCAAAACCGTGCCCCTCGCGGAAGGAAAACATACAGAAAATGCGTTTTTTTTCATTTCAGAGATTCACGGCTCGCGAAAGCACAATCGTGCCTCTCGCGGAAGCAAATCCGTACCTCTCGTGGAAGAAAAAAAAACAAAAAACACGTTTTTTTCGTTTCCGAGAGGCACGGTCGAGCCTCTCACAAAAGCACAACCGTGCCTCCCGCGGAAGCAAAACCGTGCTTCTCGTGGAAGGAAAAAAATGAAAAACAGGTTTTGTTCATTTCTGAGATGCATGACCGTGCCTCCCGCGAAAGCAAAACCATACCTCTCGCGAAACAAAACTGTGCCTCTCGCGGAAGAAAATAATAATAATAATGAACATATTTTTTTTCTGTTTTCGAGAGGCACGACCGTGCCTCTCGCGAAAGAAAAACCGTACCTCTCGCGGAAGCAAAATCGTGCCTCTCACGGAAGAAAGAAACATAAAAAGCATTTTTTCGTGCAATTTTTTTCAAAATTATTTTTTGGGTCCAGAAGATAAGGAAGACCGATGCAAAACCAAAAAGTCGAAAAGACCTGAAAAATATTAGAAAGCCTAAAACCTGTGCGGAAAAATAAATAAAAATTTCAAAGTGAGCGCCCAAAGCGCGACACGTGGCGGCGGCTGAGAGCGTGATGTCAGCCCATATGGAAGTGATCATTGCGAGCCTTCCGAAGGAGCGCTTGTCAATTAGTTGCTTCCGTTAATGTGGGCTTTGCAAGCCGGCGCACAACATTCGCTCTTGCGCCGCCCATTTCCTTTACTGTCTTTTTCGGGCCCTATTTGACGTTTCAGGCGCATGTTAATGTGTGTTTGCAAACAGGCGCACAGAATGTTGCGTGCTTGGGCCGGCCCATTTAGTTTTCTTTCCTTTTCTGTTAGAAGTGAAAAAAGTGTGCGCGGCAACGTAATCGAACTTGGGTCCTCAACCACCCACATCGCGGGCCAACCACTAGGACATGGCATCACTTGTGAGTAATAACTTCATTGTTTTCCTTTCATTATTTCTCCAGTCCGCGAAGCCCCCGGTTTTGGGAAGCTTCCCAAACCGGTTTTTATTTAATTTTCTATTTTTTGGATGGTTTGTTCGTTTTTTCTTTCCTTTTCTTCTTTTCTTTTTTCCTTCGCAAATGTGTGAACTTCTTTTGATTTCTGCAAATTGGTTTTAAGAACATTTTTTTTCAAATTTACGAATTTTTGTTAGAATCACCGAACTTTTTTCAATATCGATGATTTTGTTCAAACCCATGATTTTTTTTTCAGAATCTACGAACTTTTTTCCACGACCGATGTACTTCTCTTTTTCAAAATTGATGAACCTTTTCCAAAATCGAAGAACTTTTTCTCACAATTGATGATCAGTTTTTAAAATTGGTGAACTTTTCTTCAAAATTGATAAACATTTTTTCGAAAATCTTTGAAATTTTATCAAATTCCTGAACCATTTTTTGAATTCGTGAAATTTTTAATAATTTGATAAACTTTTTTTAATTCAATGAAACTTTTCAAAATTTTGAACTTTTTTAGCTTGCTGGTGAACTTTTTTATTGGAAATCTATGTTTTTAAAAAAAATTGTGATTTCTTTTTTCAAATGGTTTATATGGGTACATAATATATGTTATTGTTGTACTAAATGAAGTATTAAATAGTAGTGTTCACGGATTGTAGACAACTAAGTGATCTTGGTCTAGTTGTTGTTCCGCTGAGACTTTGACCGATGACGGTTGCCATGCGGGTTTGAATCCCACCACTCCCGTATTGATTCAGAAAATATTTTTCTTTTTCGTGTCTGGTTTTTGAGGAGATTGTTGGGCGTATGGCAACCTTGTTAAAAAAGGATTGCCAACGTATGTATCTATACTGTGTTAAAAAAGATTAGTTTAGTTGGCGGTACAAGAAATCACATTGGTAAAGGTAAAGGAAGTGACCAATGAACAAGGCAATGCATTCCGGCAGTTAAAAAAATGAACATGGCAAAGTAGAACACTACCATAGGCTACATGCCTCCACACGATCGCATGCACGGGTGCTTTAGAGTAGGGGTGGGTTAACGAGTTGTTCGTTTGAAACTCTTTAAACTCATGAACGCTTGTTAATATATAAAGAGCGTGTTTTTTTGGGTGACTTAGAAAATAAGTTGCCTCTCCCCAACTTAAAAAGGGTCATCTTTAAATTTTTTTAGACTTCTAAATTAGTTATTCCATAACTAGTTTAGAAGGCCCAATAAATATAAGAGACGGCTTATGGAAAAGCTGGGGAGAGCCGGCTTATTTTTTAAGCCGTCCAAAAGAACTGGCCTAAGGTCGGTTAGATTGAATAGATGGTCTGAAGTACTACGAAATATTGTCACACGATGTAAAACTGTGTGTTGTGTTGTACTAACGAGTTTAATGAGTTGCTTGTCAAACTCGTTAGCTTGAGGTCGAGCTGAAATTTATGATTGATTCTGTTCATTAAGAACTGAGCTACGAGCTTAATATGCCGAGCTGCACTCATTAAATTTTGCGAGCTAAGAGCTTTTGGTCTAGTCCTACTTCCAAGTGCAGGGAGAGAAGCTTCTCGTCCTGACAGCGTGTGCTGTTATAAAAAGTGACTGAACGTGAAAAGAAAGTCATGCAAGCCTGTCCCATTTTTCTTATTCACATGCGTTTTGAGGATCCTGTAAATCGAAGAAGCCCTCGGTTTCTTTGCTAGATCAGACAGATGTAAGCACACGAGATTTTTTCTTCAGAATTTGAATACTCAGAAATAGGCAAGAGCAACCGGATATTGCATCAAAGTTGCACTGTACCGTGATTCTTTGCAAAGTAACGATCCCTCAAAAAAGAAAAAAAGTAGTGACTCATGACCCGACACAGTGCCCAGAGAATATGTTCTCCGGCCCATCTCTTCCACTCATAAACCAACCATTCCCGGACTAAATTCAATTCAAAACGCTTAAACTTCTCGCCAAGGTCCAGGCAGGGCAGCCATGGCCAGTAACCCTACGACTACTACGGCATGCACCCGCGGTTTGCTGAAAGGTCTCGGCGCTAAACTGCACGCATGCGCGGCGCGCTTGCGCAACCAACTCTTCTTCCCCGCCTCCACCGCTTCATCGGTCTTGCTGTCCGCCCTCGCCTTGCTTGTCTGCGGCACCGCTCTCTCGAGGGTCGTCGTCTTTTTCCTGCCGCTGGTGGTCTCCACCACCATCTGCTGCGCGGCGATGTACCTGCTCGTCGCCTCGGGGTCGTCGGAGGGAGGGGCGGCGAAAGAGGTCGTGCTCCTGTGGGGAGACAGGGTGGAGGTCGGGCTCCTGGAGGTGTACGGCGGCGCGAACGCGAGCGCGTACGGCGACAGGCGCGACGTCCAAGTGGGCTGTTTCCTGCACCGCACGTCCCCTAGCGGCGACGGCGGGTGGAAGAAACTTGGCGTCGACGAGAACGGCGAGGAGGTGGTGTTTGCCGGCAGGGTGGCGGTCGGCGGCAGCGTGCAGGACGGCGCGGCGCTCGAGGAGGAGCTGGTGGCTATCCAGGTGGACAGGTTGGCCGAGGGCGTGTGGGAGCGCTACTTCGGCGGGAGCTCCGGGTGGAACTACGTGACCGCTGAGCGTGAGGAGATCGACCGAAGCATCGAGCAGCTAGCGTAAGTAATTCTGCGTCATGGGCTCATGGCATGTCATGTCGCATGGGTTAACTTGATGTTACTCTGCTGTGCATGTTGCCAAATGTGACGGCACATTTTTTGCTGCAAGCTAGTTTATTTGGCTCCACAATCGACGTTGGTATACGTGACTACGTACTGACTACTGAGTATAGCCATTTCGTTGCTACTTTTATCAAATCCTCTCGTCAATCACTAAAAACTCTGTGTGCCTGGCAACAAACTACTCATGCGCGCATGTGCTAGTATGGGTTTGCATCAAGAAATCCGCATGCTCGCGCCTGTCAAATTCCTGCCAATGGATTATGCGGATCTGAACATGATCCAACCGCAGAACAATCTTGGGTGCGTGCGTATCAGGTTCCACTGCATGAGTATCGGATTCCTGAGCATCTCATGGTGAAAAGCGCTATGCTTCAGCATCGTGCGTGAACCGCGAAGTAACTAGAACCGATTTAACGGGTCTGATAGGAACATAGAGGCAACGCCGCTCACTTGCCAGAAGTTAGTATTTATCTTTATATTTGAATTTCGATCATAACATAACAAACTTCACGAGACAAATTTTATCTTATAGCATGAACGAGAATATTCTTCCTGAATAACAAATAATACACTTTCTGTGCTAAACAGCTACTAGGACTAAGGGCATCTCCAGCCGTTGGCCCCCCAGGGGGCGCCTAAAATCGCCGCCTGGGGGTGAGCCGGCGCAAAAATTGGGCCTGAGGGCGAGTTGGTCCCCAGCCGCCGGCCCCAGGGCCGCCCCCAGGCACGTTTTAAAATAAAAGAAGTTCGGCGAAGTTCGGCTTAAGCATGATAAAATTCGGCCAAACATGATAAATTTCGGCCAAACACCATAAATTTCGGCACATTTCGGCGGAGTTCGCGGATTTTCATTACGTAGCTCATATACATAAACTAATCTAAAGGAAAAACTGGCTGAAGTCGCCGCCGTCGCCGCAATCGTCGTCGTCGGCCTTCTCCTCCTTGACGCGGGCGCCCCTGATGGACCCCTGTCCGGCGTCGCCATGGCGGACTGGTGGCGGCGCATCGTCGTCATCGTCGCTGTCGCAGATGACGACGACTCCGCCTTCGTCGCGGCCGCGTCGACGCTCCGCGAAGCGAAGCAGGGCGGCGCGCTGGCGCTCCTTCGCCTTCTCCAGGCGCTCCTTCTCCATCGCTATGGAGTCCCTGCGCGCCCATTCCAGGGCCACGTCGTCGTCGAGCTCCGTCGTCACCGGCGCGACCGGCTCCTTCTTCACCGGCGCGAGCCCCGGCTCCGTCTTTGGCTTGACAAAGCGCGGAGGAGGAGCCGACGAGCAGGCGCGCCGGCCGTCCTCGTTGATGACGATGCCGGCGCTGCGAGTGCGCCGGTCAAGCGGCGTCTCCGCCGCGGGCTCGGCCTTGACGCCGAGCAGGGCCGGAGTGCCGGAGGAGTGCGATGAAGATCGGGAGGAGGAAGAAGAGGAGGAGGACCCGAACCTCCTTGGTGCCCATGGCCCGGCGCGTCGGTGCTGCGCCGGGGCGGCCGCCCTCGCCGGGTACGCCAACGGCGGGTCGTTGCCGCCCTCGAGGTACGTCAGCACGCCCTCGAGTGTGCGGCCGGGGACGCCCCACCACAGGTGGCGCCCCTCGCTGTTCTGACGGCCGCCAACCACCAGCGTGCCGTTGATGGACGCCAAGCGCTGCTGCTGGCGGCGCTCGAAATACGCCGCCCAAGCCGCGTGGTTGTCGGCGGCGTACTGGGGGAGGGAGAGTTGGGCGTCGGTGAGGGAGGCGCGCACGACCTCGACTTCCTCGGCGAAGTACTGCGGCTTCGCCACGACGTCGGGCAACGGGGGAATGGGCACTCCCCCGGCGCTGAGCCTCCACCCCGTCGACCCGGCGAGCATGTTCGGCGGTGCCGGGATGTTCGCCTGGAACAGGAGCCAGGACTCCTGTTCGCGGAGCGAACGACGGTCGAAGCCGTTGGCCGCCGCCTCGTCTCCGGGGTAGCGTTCCGCCATGGCGACGGGCTCGGGAGAGGTAGAGAGATAGAGGGAGGGGCTGGGCGGCGGCGCTCGGGAGAGGTAGGGAGAGGGAGGAGCTGGGCGGCGGTGAGGGGCGGGGCTCGTGCGGGCACAGGCGAGTGCAGGCTACCGGCTATATAGCCGCACCGCACCCGTGTGTACGCATGCAAGGGAGGGAAGGCGTCGGCGCGCCGTCCCGTGACGCGCCGCCCGTGAGGAATCAATGGTAAGGCTGACCGGCGGCAGCCTTGCCATTGATTTCCCGCGGGAACCGAGGCCATTGGGGGAAGACGAGGCGTCGTGTCGTTGACACGGCGGGCCCGCGGCTGTTTCGCGTCAAAACAGTTCGCCCCGGCGCCCCCGGGCGCCCCCCAGCGCGCCGGGTTTGGCCCGGGTCCGCCGGCGCTGTTTTCGGTCCAGGCCGGCGAAAATCGGGCTTCTGGGGGCGCGACTGGGCCGTTTTCTTGGCGCCGGCGCGAAAAAATCGCCTGGGGAGGCCTTCCTGGGGGCGCGGCTGGAAATGCCCTAATGAATTATACCAACTAAGTCTGAGCGAATCTTAAACTTAGCAACAGGAACATGCTTTGTCAACATATGTGTGGGATTATCATGAGTAATAATTTTGTATACCTACCTTGAGCAACATTTCTCGAACATAATGGTATTTGACACCAATATGCTTCGTCTTCTCATGGAACATCTGATCCTTAGTAAGGTATGTGGCACTCCGACTATCACAAACCAGATTAATGCAATAATTATCATCACAAAGCCTAGCATACAAACCTTTCAGCCAAACTGATTGTTTACATGCTTCTGCAATAGCCATGTATTATACTTCAGTAGTAGATTGGTCAATAACTGGCTATAGCGTTGCCCTTCAACTCACGGCAAAACCATCAACGGTGAACACATGACCTGTAAGGGACCCCCTCTTACTCAAATTGCTGGAAGTAAAATCTGAATCCACATAGCCACCTAGTTCCTCATCAGTCCTACCGAATTTCAAACAAGCATTAGAAATGCTACGGAGATACCTGAAAATCCATTTAACAACCTTCCAATGTTCTTTACCAAGGTTAGCCATTTTCTACTGACCAAACTCATTGCAAATGACAAATCAGGACGAGAACACACCACGACATACATTAAAGAGCCAACAACACCGAAATATGGAACTCTTGACATATACTCAAACTCTCATCATTACTAGGAGTCTAGGACAATGAGAATATGGTAATTTGAAATGAGGAGCAATAAGAGTCCTTACCGACTTAGCATCATGCATGTTCAAATGGTGAAGAACTTTCTTAATATAACTTTGCTGACTAAGAAATAGCAAACCAGAATTTCTGTCTCCAGTAATCTCTATACTTAGAATTTTCTTAGCAGCACCAAAGATTCTTCATCTCAATCTCACTACTTAATTATTCCTTTAAAGCAGTGATATCTTTTTTTGGCCTTGGCAGGAATCAATATGTCATCAACATATAACATCAAGTATAAACATGATCCATCAACAAACTTAATGTAAACACAACTATCATATTCAGACCTCTTAAATCCATGTGCAATCATAAATGAATCAAACCTTTTATACCACTATCTCAGACACTATTTCAGACCATATAAGGACCTCTTTAACTTGCAAACACATTTGCACTATCAAATCCTCTGGTTGCTCCATGTAATCTCTTTCTCCAGTTCTCCATGCAGAAAAGCGGTTTTGACATCTAACTGCTCAAGCTCAAGATCAAGCATAACAACAATTCTGAATAATGCATGAGTGGAATTATGCTTCACAACTGGAGAGAACACATCATTATAATAAATACCTGGTATCTAACTAAAGCCCTTAGCCACTAACCTTGCCTTAAACCTCGCGGGATCACTAGGAGACAAACCTTCCTTTCTTTTGAGGATCCATTTGCAGCGAACGGCCTTCTTTTTCTTAGCCAAGCACATAACATCCCATGTGTCATTTTTCTCAAGTGACCGCAACTCTTCCTACATAGCAGCAATCCACTTCTCGCGGTCACCGAAAATAATGGCTATAGTGGATGTGGACGTCTCATGTAGCGACCAGACCTCAAATAGTATGATCTCTGTGCTCAGGTGTCATCCCTGGATCAGTAATGCTGACACCACACAGTACTCGGAGGATTTATAACAGAGTAGCAATCACACACTTATTACATCGAGTGTCTCAATAGAGAACTTATTACAATAAATATGGCTTAAGGCCATCTAATAACTATAACAGCGGAAGGCTTGGAAGATAAGTGAGTCCATCAACTCCAACGGCATCACTGAGTATAGAACCACGACCTAAAACTCCTTAATCGTCGTCTGAAAAGTCCGCAACATTAACGTTGCAGCCCGAAACGGGTCAGCACATGGAATATGCTGGCAAAGTAACACATAGAGAGTAATGGAATGAAACAGCTATACTATATGCATATTTGGCTGGTGGAAAGCTCTATGATTACAGTTTTGCGTAAAGCCAATTTTTTCCTACTACAAAGGAATAAATTTATTTAACTATCATGGTGGTTGTTAAACATTGAGAATGGTTGACAGCATCCTCAATCCCAATTAAGCATCATCATTAAACAAAACCCAACAAAATTAATTTAGAGTAACATGTTGAGATTCACATGATAATCCAAGGTACTAGATACTCAAGATGCCCATAACCGGGGACACGGCTAACCATGATTAGTTTATACACTCTCCAGAGGTTTGCGCACTTTTCCCCACAAGACTCGATCTCCTCCGTTTGGTTTCTCGCACTACATGGTGTTTGAGAAGATGGATGACCGAGACATAGTCTTTCAGAAGCGCTAGCACCTTACGATGGATAGATCGTTACACCTACTTTCCCCTACATCTGCTAGTCTACCCTGTAAGAGTTCGCACGACTTAATCAACTATGCTAGAGCCCATAATAGCTTGTGGCTACACATGGAAGTTTCTA